CAGCAAAGCGCGGGCTCATTCCTGCTGGGAAGACAAATTAGTACACCTAACCTAACCTTTATAGTTTGGAGAAATGATTATAAAAAGTATTTTGTCTTTGCAAATGTATTTTTTTTTTAAATATTGAAAATTTTCTAGATAACTGAATTGTTTGTCATGTGCATTGCGGCTTTCTTAGGTTAAGTAGGGCAACGTTAGGTTATGTTAGGTAAGGTAAGGTAAGATTAGGTAAGGTTAGGTTATGTTAGGGTAAGACACATTTCACTAATTTCGCAGCGAATTAATCACTACTGAATGTATCGGATAGAAAGTTTATAAACATAATTCTTTTTCTAAGAAAAAATGCGATACCATTGTTAATTTTTACCCCCGTTTTTTATTAGTTATGATGAACTTAGATTGGGTTTGGGTTAAGTATTATTTAATTATGAGTCATGGGTACATTAATAAGGCCTATCTGCCATATGGCAACAGGGTCTACCATTAGACAATACATTAAGCTTCCAATATCTTCCCAAGCAGTAGTACCTCCCTGTTTGCTAGCTGCCTACTACCTCTAGTTATAATGGTCAATAGGTAAATCAGGTAAATTTAAACAGGTGTTCAGATTCATTCATATTTTTTTTTATGTTGGTTATGAGTGTTCGGTCAGAAATGACAACTTCCAGTTTCTAGCATTTCTGGGTGGGTGAGGTAGAAACTTGGTTAAATTCAAAAGTAATATAGCTCAGTACGGTATTTACTCATTACACTTTCCAAATTAGAAGATCTACCACCAATCACATTTCAGGACGCAATCATTCTGCCAAGTTGTAAAATAGATATACAGTACACTGTACTAGATCTCACCATTTCCTCTCATATGTCATGGAAATCACACATCCAAAACATTGCTAAAGCTGCCTCCTGAAAGCTGGGAATGCTGTACAGAAGCCGTAGCTACTTCACTCCTGAGTAGTTGCTTCACATTTATAAGGGACTCATTCATCGTAACCTGGAGTACTGCTCTCATATCTGGGGTGGCTCTTCTGTCCAACTGTTAGATAGGGTGGAATCAAAGGCTTATTGACTCTCCTCCTTTAGTTGATAATCTTTCTTCCCTCTCTCTCTTTGCTGCAATGTTGCTTCACTCTCTCTTTTACAGGTACTTTTAACGGGAAATATTCGGTGGATTTGGCATCCTGTGTTCCTCTGGCAAGGCCGTGGATTCGTAACACTCGTCTTGCCTGCAGTGCTCACAGTTTCTCTCTGGCTGTCGGTCACACTGGAATAACCCATTACTGTATACAGGTCCACCACCGATTTTCCGGCACCCTTAGTTCCAAAGCCTTGCCGTATTATCCGTTTTGCCGGACCAACCGAGGTCAGGTAATAATAATTCAACAATACACCTCTGACCCACTAATTATACACCTCCTGTGTCTCTAAAGCACCATGGACTGCTAGAAACTTAAATTAAACAAATATTAAATGTAAATTAAATGTGAAAATGCCATAATTTTGAGCAACATTACTGTACACACATTGTACTCAAATGTACTTCATTAGACTAAAAATTTTATCTCTTGTGCCAACTATGTGATGTTTATACTCAAATTAATCACTATATTACAAGGATTCCAGCAATGTAATTTATATTCTGCTAAGTCTAGTCTGCGACATTTTATAAGATAAAAACTTTAAGCCTAAACTGCCTTCACCCTGGCTGTGAAGGAGGGAGAAGGTTGAGATGTTGAGAGCTGTCAGGGAGGAGAGATAACAAAGTGCGTAGTTATTAAAACAGAAGGAGTTTTAGTTTTCCACTTATAAAATGTCATTGAATTGACTTGGCAGTATATAATTTGCATTGGTGTAGTTCTTGTAAGATAGTGATCAATTTGAGTAGAAACATCACATAGTTTGTACTAGACATAAAAATTTTAGTAATTAACTTCTTACAGGTTTACCCTTAGGACAATTATTTCTTTTACTTTTTCACAATATATATATTTAGGGTGGTGTGTGCATGTTAATGAGTAAAAATAAATGAAGGAAGTTTCATATATCTTCCTGAAAATATGAGTTAAATAACTTGTACACAAATGTACTACACCAATCTAGAATTTCTATCTCTTGTGCAAACTATGTGATGTTTAAGCTCAAATTTATCACTATCTTGCAAGGATACCACCAATGCAATTTATATTCTGCTAAGTCTAGTCACCTACATTTGATAAGATAAAAAACGTTAAGCCTAAAACTAGCTTCACCCCGGCTGGGAGGGAGGGAGGCAAGTGCCGGACCATCAGTTCCCGGATAATCGGATAATCGGTGGTGTACTTGTAGTACATCCTTTTTTCCTCACACAGCCAAACTGTGGAATGCTCTGCCATCTTCTGTGTTTCCATACTCATGCAATCTGTCTCGCTTCAAAAAGTTGGTTTTCCGGCATCTTCGTGGTGTAGAGTAATATAATCTATTTCTTTTCTATTTTTAATGTTTACTCCTATTTTTTCACCCCCTAGGTCCCATTGTGGGTCGATGACCTGTGCCCGGGTGGGCTATTCCCCGTTAAAAAAAAAAGAAAAAAATGCTTGGAGCATAACTGAGCCCACACACTTATAAGTGACATACATTATTTTGCTTTGTAGGTGTGTCCAGTTGTGTAACAACCCACATGATTGATTATCTAGCAAGATAAGTGCAGGGCTAACACAATCATACACTAAGAGAGAGAGAGAGATTATCTTGAGTCTGACTATACCCCTCGACCATAGGCCCATGATCCAAGTGTTGCACCCATATAGGGATGTTGGTTCTTTGTTATTGCTCCCATTAAGTCACAGCAGTTCACTACATGAATTTTCAGATGAAAGTCATTGTTAGATTATGTAATATAATGTTATTTTGTTATATTTAATGGCTTATTGATGTAATTTTTCTACTTGGTCATGATTCCCGTGGGCAGTACAGCACTTTGTTTTATTACTATATATTTCCTTCTATTTACTGTTTGATTTGTCATCTTCATTTTTTTCTTACTTTCTTTTTTCTCAGAATGAGCAAGTAGTTGGTGTTTGTTTCACTCATAATTGTCAGTTCAATTTATTAAAGTCTTCTTAAAAACTTCCAAGATTTGCTTCTCAGTACAGTATTATACTGAAATTAAGATTGCCACTCAAGCTATTTTAACACTCCATAATCATCTAACAATACTAATGAGCTTGTCATATGATTTTTTTTTGTGATCAGTAGATTTTGCTGCATGCTCCTTTTATTTTGCTATTATTGTTCCACTAAAATTTTACATTACAGTATAGTCTCGTTTTACGCGGTCAATTAAACCCATGGAGGTCCGCGTATAACGCGAAACGCGTAAATGAAATAACAGAACATATGGGATTAATTGAAATAGGGACTGGGCCGACCCCCAGACTACCCTTTTTCTGACAGAATACGTACGTTGTAGTAAAAATAACATCTTAATTTTATGATGGTATGCACACACAATTAATATTTAAGAGAAATATCAATAATATTAGGTTTTGTAACACTTACGTTAGTAGAAGAGATGGCTGGGCACACGGGGATGGGGGGTTGGTTCCGAGGCAGAGGGCAGATTATTGGTCATCACCTGTATCACTTGTATCAACTGTATCACTATCCACCACAGAGGCTAGCAGGGCCTCCTTGTCAAACCCCTCAAAGTCCATATCCTCACTATCACTGACTTGGGCTGGCTGTGGTGGGTGGCGGGTGGGCACGAGGGAGACAATGGGACTGACGCAGTCAAGGTCATCGACTCATCGCCCCTGGTGGCAGGGCAAGCAAAGTTAAATAGACCAATCACAGCTCGAGGCGGAGGGGGTGCGTGGGTGGTAAGAATACGTGGCCCAATCAGAGTCCGAAACGTCATCTGACGTCAGCGGTGACGTAAGAGCGACCTAGCGCGCAGTTTGTCCGCGCCGCTTCCCGCGTAAATTCAGGAATGTACCGCGTAACTAATAATTGGCGCATCTGGACAGGTGCCGCGTAAATGACCAACCGCTTATAAAAAATCCGCGTAAACCAAGACTATACAGTGGTCCCTCGGTTAATGAACACAATTCGTTCCAGAAGGTCGTTCGTTAACCGAAAATTAAGTTAACTGAAACCATTGTTTCAATGGGATTTTGGGTAATTGGTTCCAGCTCACTGAAAATTACATACAAACGAAAAATAAATGCAGTAAAGTACACTTAATTTGAGGTATGCATGTAGAAGGCTCCTGGTTGATGATGATGATGATGGGAATTAGAATGGAGATGGGGGCGGAGGAGAAGGGAGAAGAGAAGGCATTGGGGTGGAAGAGAAGTCACCCCATGCCGCCATTTCACCCATAAAATTTTAGTTCACTTGGTGTAATTCAAGATTATTTTCTTTAAATCAACACTGCACTGCATTATATATTGTCAATATGTAAAATAAACTTCAGAATGACCAATAATTGTACTGTAAAAATGTAAAAATAGTTTATGTTAAAGAGAGTCTCAAGCAAGATGCTTCCACTGAGCAGACACACAAACTGATGCCATTCTGGGTAAGTCAAGTGGCTGTTTGGCACGCTAAAAACTAGTTCCCTGTACTTCAATTATGTTAAATAATTGTTAAAATTACTAAAAACTTTAATATAAGAATTGGAAAATTATTGAAAGTACAACCTTCTTGATATTTACTCAAATGGTAACGAATTTAAACCCTAAAACCGATTACTGTATTGGCGGACTAATACTGCAGCTGGTGAGCAAGCGAAAACATGTTGGGAAAAATTCGTAAGGAATTTGTGAACCAAAATTTTTTCATTAACCGGAGTGAAGAATCTTATGGAAGGTAATTCGTTAACCAAAATTTCGTTAACCGAGGCGTTCGTTAACCGAGGGATCACTGTACTGTATAAAGATTTCATGTCCTCATTTATCATGTTCCCCAAATTAATTTTTTGTGTTATGTATGCATGTTGTAAAATAACTGCTGTTTCTCAGGAAAAGATGTCACTACAACGTGTGCTAAACAGCTGGTACGGTGTTAACAAGCAGATGTGGCGCCTTGTGTATCGAGCTTCAACTCACGGTTATTCTGCTGATGCATTTCATCGCCACTGTGATGGTGTTGCTCCAACTTACACAATAGTTATGGTCAGTAACATATACAGTTCTTTATTTATTTGGATTGATCTTTTAATTTCCTGTAATGGTCTTTTTTATTGTATCTCATTCACAGAGCTATTTCTTGATATTAAAGTAAAGTAAATGTATCAGGTTAATTTATTAGGATGAAAATGATCCAGAATAGTGAAACGAATGATCTTGACACATTTATTATATTTAATATTCCTTTAGAAAACAAAATCATCAAATACAAAAACCGGTTTTACTACTACGACCCGGTGTTGCTGCACACCATAGAGAACATGTCTTTCTTGCTTCGGTTTCTACTCATCACCTCCCTGCTGACCACCTGAGCTCGGATGTAGCCTTCCCTCCTCTCCTGGCTGTACACGTGACTGCTGGCCTCGCTCACTTGCTGTACACAACGCTCTATACTCTGGGTGTACGAGGGCCAGGCAGGGACATGCATGGGGTTGTCCAGGAAAGCTCTGACTTGAACATTGGTGAGGCTGCAGGTAAGAAGGGGCTCACTGCCAGCCTGGATGTTATCCAGATCTATGAGATCAGTGAGGGTCTTGGCACCTAGATTGACTTCAGGAGTCTTCCTGACCCTGAAGGAATCGTCACCAACTGATTCGTCATGCCCAGATCCTCTCATAAGTCTCATATCCAAGATCTTTTTGACTGCCACTCTTCTCTCCTCCTCATCCTTACTGCAGAGCATTGTCTGCAGAACTGCCTCAGGATGAGCATACCAGGAAGATCTCCTCACAGTCTGCTCCACAATCTGAACAACCTTCCTTGGCTGACTCCTCAGGAGCTCAAGCTGGAAGAGAACATGCCTCGGACCTTCGGAGAACGATGACTTGACCTTGGTGTTGAACCAATTTGGCAAGTAGACACTCACGATGAATTGGACAATAAGTCTCAGGTTGTGAAGCTGGTTCCCTTTCAGTTTATGATGAGCGACCCAAATTCTGCAGAACCTGAGAGCCGTTGTGAGCCACCTAGAATGTGAGACTGGACCTATCTGCAGGTAAGCAAGTCTATCAGGCATGACCCCAGTTTTGATGGCACTGCAAATCATGTAACCATAGTACTGGTCAGTACTCAGGTCGTCAATGACAGTATGTGCAAGCTCAACGAGTGGAGGGCCAACTGTGATTTTTTTCAAAGCTCGGATTTATTTCTAACTCAGTGGCAGAGTCCAGCATCTTGCCAAGAGGACCAGACCATCTGTTGTTTGAAAGAGTCTTGCCATCCAGCTCCTGGATCAGATGTCTGAGTGGCAACTCATTGGTGTGGAGGTCACAAACAATCCAGACCAGCTTCCTCCCAATCTTCCGCTCTATCCACTGTATGACCCCCCCTTGCCACCCTGTGTTCGTGTTGGTGCTGTCCCCTTCAATGGCCTGCAGGGTCTGGTCTACGTTCTTCTCTCTGAGCCAGTTCACAATGTTATCTGCCACTATCTCAGCTGGTTTCCTGATGTCATCTTTCTCTGGGGTGAAATGCCACAAATACTTCCCTCCTGGTACACTGCAGCAGGAGTAGTGTTCCTCCTTCACCATGGCAGGGAACAACTTGTCAGAATCTCCAACTTTCATGAACACTTTAGTGTCATCCCTTCTCCCATCAAAGAACAAACAATTGATTCTATTTTCTCTTATCCCCTTATCAAACTCCTCTTCTAGGTTACTGACAAGTTTCTCCTGAGCTCTCCTTACTTTGTTATGATCTATCATCAGGTGTTATCAAACCACCGTCAACCCAGGCAGCTGTTGCTATCTCTGCAGTTTCTCTGAGACCAGTGTGGTGTCGCATGCTGGCCAGAGCTATGCTCGGGATATCTTTCCTATTTCGAATCTTATGCCTGGAAAGTTTGGGATCATTATTTTCTGGGTTAGGGACAAAGTCACCATTCTCCTGGTCAGCACTCGGATCAGCCATGGGGAAGTCATTAAACTCTGAATCAGCTTGACTCCAATCATCGGCCTTTTTTACCTCACCCTGGGCCTTCTCAAGTCTCTTTTCCTCGGCAACTCTTCTCTTCTGTCTCTCTGTGGCAGCCTCCTGTCTCTTGGACTCCGGAATATCTTGGCTAGAAATCATGAGAGCCCCTATGCTGCCAGTCTTCTCTCTCTGTGCTTTGACAAATGCCAGTTCGATCACAGGAATCTTCAGTTCACGCTTGCAAATACAGGAGATGTGGGCCTCGGGTTTACAGTCACGATCGCATCCAAACTCAGGACAGAGAACAATTGGGCACTTGCAAGTAATTATGTCAAATAACTGGTCCAGTTGCTTGGCAAAGCTGTCCTTAACTGCAAGTTTTCCTCTCCCAAGAGAGATATCTCTTGCCTTTTCCCAACTGGCTAGCAGTCTCTCACTAATCTTCTTTTGACTTGTTATGACTGGAGGCTTGAACTGAGCGTTAGCCAGAGTGTACTGTGCCAAAACAGCTTTGGTCATATCACTGGCAATGTCTTTGTTTGTGTAAGTTCTTTGGTTCTTTTCACTGATTTGCCTGATTAAAACACCGTATCTCAAAGCATCTCTCAATGTAGACAACTCCGACTTCAGGAGCTCTCTCCCAGACCCAAGATAGTGACTGAGATGGCTGGATTTTTGGTTCCTCGTCCTGACACAAGCAGCCATCGCAAATATTATCAACTTATAAATGCATCAGAATCTGAAACAGAAAAAAATATTGTTAGTTGGGTTGTTAAAGAATGAAGTCAGAAAGCAATGTTCACTATTTAATTGTAATGCACTAATGCAGCTGTACGTTAGATTTTCGATAAATTTCACGCTAAAATTTACCTAGCAAAAGGTTGCAAAATATTGAAACTGAAATTATTTTCTGTTTATATACACTAAAATCTACCAAAAAAGTGATGGGCCATTAGTTTTAGCTGATCTTCCCTCCTATGACACACCCTATTATGGGAGGTAACTCGTTAACCGAAATCTCGTTAACCGATGCGCTCGTTAACCGAGGGATCACTGTATAAATGAATAATAATATGGTCACACAAGAGGAGATGGGACTCCATTGTTTTCGTTAGTGTTTACAGTCGGAAGTCCGGAACGATAGTTCTACATGAGGAAATGAAGAAAATAAGACCCTGGTTGTAGCTGCAGTAAAATTAATGTAAAAAAAATTAATATATATGTTTTAGTAATGTTATTTAATATTAATAAATGAAACCATAGATGTAGCTAACTACTAATGACAAAGAAAAAAAAGTGACATGGATTGGGAACGCCAACATATACATGCGCATTTAAGGATACCACATCATTTATCTTTTTAAGAATGTGTACTAAAGATTCATTATTGCTTATGACTGAATATGTATTTGATTGAATTAATCTTTATATGCGAAATGAACAATACAATTCATTTATAATGCATAGAATATTAGAACACACAAGATTATAAGAGACAACATTGTTGTCAGTTATCCACCTGTATGTTTTAGTTAGTGTTATTTAATGTACAGTAGAAATATCCACTGATATTAAAGAAAAAAAGTGAGACTGATAGTGGAACGCCAATGTATACAGTACGTGCGCACTCAAGGAAACATAGTCATTTATCAATTCAATTTCAATTTCAATTGTTTATTCCTTGATAGAGGAAGCGGGATCCTAGTACTGTCACTAGGTACCCCTGTACAATAACACCAGAAGCATCTGGCAAGTGTGACAAGTATATACAGTATAAATATTATAAAGGGGCTTACTAAAGCCTAAGGAAGGAAGGAAGGGTATTCCTTTAACACATAATCAATGTTATTTACATAATATCTGGCCAGTATGGGGAGGATCATCGTGTCTCCGTCAGGGGGTCGTGGAGTGGTGGTCCAGCAGGCGTCACGGAAGCGTTGTGTGTGGGGACATCTTAGGAGGGAGTGGATAAGGGTGTGGCTGTCGGGTCTTCTGCATAATGCACAAGAGCGTTGCTCAGGGGATGCGGCGATACCAATCTCCCAAGCAAAGTCATACCCAATGATGATACGGGCATCGTCATTTATCTTAAGAATACAGTCATGCGCCGGTTAACGTCCTAGATATGTTCTTGGAAACGTGACATTAACCAAAATGGACGTTGTCCGATCATCACATAAACTTTGTCTTTATACTTATGTGTATGTGGAATACTATATATGTACATATACACTCTTACTCTTAAATCACTACTGTAATGTGATACAGGTGATTAATTTTTATCTCTTGTGCAAAATACATGACGTTTATATTAAAATTATTCACTGTCTTACAAGGATTCCAGCAATGCTGGGCAGATGGGGGAGAGGGAGCGAACGAGCTTGGGGGGGAGGGGAGCGGGAGTTGAGGTGGTACGTTGGACAGTTGGCACCGGCCCAAGTTCTAACGCGTGTTTATCAATTCTTAAGTGACTAAGCTTCTCTCTTATATAGCCAGTGAAATGACCTGGGTGAATATAATTTACATTGCTGGGATTCTTGTAAGATGGTGATTATTTTAAATATAAACATGCTATAATTTGCACTAGACATAACAATTTTAGGACCGTAATCAAATTAGTACATGTGCACTCCAGCTTTGCACTAAGGTCATTTATTTCTTTTACGTACATGTAAATGGATGAAAACAAATGAAGAAATTTTTGTAAATCTACCCAAAAATACAGTTGAAATACTTTATATTATAAAATGTACACTAATGTACAGTATAGTCTGGATTTACGCGGTCAACTGAACCCGTGGAGGCCCGCGTAAAATGAGAAACGCGTAAATGAAATAACAGAACAATTGGGATTAATTGAAATAGAGACTGGGCCGACCCCCAAACTCCATTTTTGCCGACACAATACGTACATTGTAGTAAAAATAACACTTAATTTTATGATGGTATGCACACATAATTAATAATTAAGAGAAATATCAATAATATTAGGTTTTTTAACACTTACTTTAGTAGAAAAGCTGGATCGGCACCCGTGGATGGCGGCTGGTTGTGAGGCAGAGGGCAGAGTAGTT